AAAAAAAAGAAGAGAAAAGATCGCGCTCGGACGAATGATCACTCTCTGCTGAGAAACTGCCGCTCCAATTGTTTAACTTGTTGATGCGACGTTATTCTACTGTTTTTCCTCTATCGCCTGGCTGCAGTGACAGATAGATGGGTGGAATCGCAAGTATCCTCTACCGTGGATAGGTATTTCATTAAACTCACCGTGGATGCAGTTTAAAGAGCAGCCTTCCCTAAGGTGGGTGTTTTTTACGTTACTTAGATTTTCATTGATAAAAAAAAAAAAAAAAAATCTATCCCTGTTTATTGATGGGTGAGGTTTCTCGAAATCCAATTCATATTCTGCCGCAAAGTAGGCTTCCATAACTGAACAGGTACAATGAGGAAAAAGGCTTGAGAGTGATACTCAACAGTGCTATGCGCAGTATCAGTATAAGCAAATGGGTTTGTGTGTTTTTCTAATCACATTCTGTTAAGCCTAGGAGCTTCAGAACCCTAACCACCAGTGTCTCTATCTGCTGTTCTTCCTGCAGATGCAATTCATCTCTGAGCCATAGCACTGTGATAAACGGAGCAGGGTTGTATTAAAAACACTATAGGTCAGCATGGCAGCAGGTGTAGCGGCATGGCTCCCATTCGCCCGAGCGGCGGCCATAGGATGGATGCCCGTGGCGAGCACCCCGATGCCCATCCCTCCCCAAGAGAAGAAGAAAGGCCAGGACGGACTCATCATCCTCAACGTGAGTGGGACCAAGTTTCAGACGTGGCGAACCACTTTGGAGAGGTACCCGGACACTTTATTGGGGAGCACGGAGAGAGACTTCTTTTTCCACGAGGAGACAAACGAGTTCTTTTTCGACCGTGACCCTGACATCTTTAGACATATCCTCAATTTCTACCGCACGGGGAAACTACACTATCCGCGCCAAGAGTGCATATCTGCGTACGACGAGGAGCTCGCGTTCTTTGGGATAATCCCCGAGATCATCGGGGACTGCTGTTACGAGGAGTACAAGGACCGGAGGCGCGAAAATGCCGAGAGGCTTCAGGACGACGAGGAGATGGACATGAGCAATGACGTCACGCCGGTGAACCTGACTTACCGGGAGTTCCTGTGGCGGGCTTTTGAAAACCCGCACACCAGCACCTTAGCTCTGGTCTTCTACTATGTCACAGGCTTCTTCATTGCCATATCTGTGATGGCCAACGTGGTGGAGACGGTTCCGTGTGGGACTATGCCCAACAGGTCGAAGGAGATGTCCTGTGGAGACCGTTACGCACTGGCTTTCTTTTGTTTAGACACTGCGTGCGTAATGATATTCACTGTTGAGTATCTCCTCCGTTTAATCGCCGCTCCCAGCCGGTACAAGTTCATGAAGAGTGTGATGAGCGTCATTGACGTGGTCGCCATCATGCCTTACTACATCGGCCTGGTCATGACCGACAATGACCAGGTGAGCGGCGCTTTCGTCACGCTGAGAGTCTTCCGGGTCTTTCGGATTTTCAAGTTCTCCCGGCACTCCGCGGGGCTGCGCATCCTGGGCTACACCTTGAAGAGTTGCGCCTCCGAACTGGGCTTCCTACTATTCTCCCTCACCATGGCCATCATTATCTTTGCAACGGTCATGTTTTATGCAGAAAAAGGCTCCACAGCCACCAAGTTCACCAGTATCCCCGCAGCGTTTTGGTACACCATTGTCACCATGACAACACTGGGGTAGGTGGCTGCATTTAAGTCCATAAAACCTTTACAGCTTTTCTAACTCACCATAAATCACCGCCTCGGCTGGCTCACTGCCTTCTCGAAACATCCATGTTTTTCAGTTAAACCCAGTACAAAACAACAATACCACGTATTCATCAACTATCTTTTTTTTTAAATCTTATTTGTCTAATTCTTGAGGAATATGGTTACATTAGCTTGCCCAGCCACACAGAGAACTAATGTTCACAAATGTTAGGCCATTGTTTGAACTAATTGTCGCGCGGCCACAGGTGTGCATTTATTGGGCATATTAACAGCCTCGAGCGCTGCTCAGCCAGTGTGAGGGCGGGAACGAGGAGGCGTCCGTGCGCCATTCACTGCCTATTAATGAGCCTGCGCCTCACAGGCGGCCCTTATCCAAGGGTTAGGCCTCGTCCCTGCCTCTTTTCAAGGGTTTTTTAAACAATTTTTATTGAATGCGCTCTTTTGGAAAGGTTACTGCAATGAACTCACCGATTTCATTAGAGGGGGGCTTTTTTTTATTATTTATTTAAATTCCACCTCACAGGAGAGCTCTTAGGACCAAAGACAGAAAGGCTCCTAGCTGGCCAACATCCTGCATGCCGCATTTACAGGCCAAACTGAGGAACGAATGATTGAATTAAAGGCAAAGTAGTTTACAAAATACACACACACACACACACACACACACACACACAAACATTTCCTCTTCTTAAACTGCCCCCTCCCTCTCTCAGCCTTTCTCTCTTTCTTTAACGAGGTACAGTAAATATCTGAATGCTAATTTCATGCTCATGAACAACGTCAGCTGTCTATGTGCTGATGTAGCATAAAATAATTAAACACGGTTAAGATGATTACATCAAATTAATTTGTATTGATGAGCGCACTCAACCGTTCAGCTGCTCTGTGTGTATTATTATTATTATTATTATTATTTTAGTTATTGTTACCACTATTCTCTCCAGCTCAGCATTTTGGGGCGGTGCGCTTTCCAGGGTGCTGAAAAGTTGTGTCAATGAGCCGATTGGCTGCCATTTGTTTTTTTTATTTTTTATTGTCATATGAATAAAGTGAATGCGGCGTTTTGGCTGCCTGGAGCGTTATTACAAGTTGTACAGTGCGAAATAATAATCAGACCGTTTCTAATTTGTGTGTAAAAATACCCTGGTTGCTTCTTTACTCGCTGCTGCACGTATGAGGTTGAACAGCCACTCAGACAATGTGAGCGCTCACGCCCTCCTCTTCACTGCTGACACAGAAATGAGGTCCTGTTGAAATAATGTTGTCTTTTAATTTCATTGTCATAACATCACAGATCAAACATTGCAAAACAAATTGCCACTGGCTGTGTGTACTTGTGTGTTCACGCTTGCCTTTGTGTCTGCAGTTGTGTGTGTGTGTGTGTGTGTGTGTGTTTGAGATGTGGCATAATTCTGTGAATATAAAGTTCAGATTCACAGTTTCCTGTATTCTTTTTAGTTTAACTGATAGAGGATTGTTCATGCTTCATGCAAACAAACTGAATTCTTTGTTTGACTTTACTTGTATTTAATATAGATCCGTCTTGTTTTTGTCTGCCCTCATATCTGCAGTGATGCAGCCACTCTGCACCTGGTTACCCTTCAGCTCTGCAGGCAGCATATGTTACTATTATTATTACTGTAATAATTATTATTATTTATTGTCACTACGCCAGCCTCTCTCTGTCTGCCGTCATGCTGCGGGTGACACAGAGTTAGTGGATTTCCTGTCTTCTAATGACATACAGAGCTTCCCCGTGCACTCACTCAATACCAGTCGAACTACCACTCACCCTCGAAATGACCAATGACTGCATAATTAGTGATAGGCACGATCCGGTGATTGAAGCTGCCACCTCAGATGTAATGCTGCATTGGCCATGCTTTCCATTCAGATTCAAAGAGCAGATGAAAGATGAGTTGTGTAAGAGGGTACATTATTTATCTTTGGAGAGCAACAAAGATATTGCTGCATTCAGCTCGGAATCCCCTTTGTGTTGCTTAAGATGGATTTGAAAAAGATGTTCTGCCGTGTGAGAACAAAACTGAAACGTCCTTGCTAATGGGGACGTTTCTGTCACTCCATTGTGAACCATGACAGCCTGGCTGACAGATTTGCAACCTGAACTGAAGCCTTGCAGTGGTGCAGAATGCTGCAGAGTGGACCACCGATGGAGAGGCTGAATACCCATCACTAAAAGACAAAGTCGGCTCCTTCTCATGATCCATCATTGTCTTGACGCTTTTAAAAAATATGCCTCATACAACCCTAAAGCTGAAGTGTGGTTGTCATTGTCTACGCTGAAGTGAGGACAATATCTGTCGTCGTACTCTCCTCCACTAACCTTCAAATGCTTATCTGATCAGGGGAAATGATGTATTGTGATGGTTTGTCTCAGATCACAGCATGCAGAAAAATGTATCCACGTCTAACGAATCGTTATTTAAGTCCGATATGAATTGGGTAGTCTTTTCATTCGGTTGCAAATGAGCTCTTTTAAGACTAGGGGAGTGCTGCTGGCTGGAACCTCCATTTGAAGCATTTGATTTCATTCTGATAGTCAATGATGCCTGCATGGTATCATGATGCCTTTCCACTACATATATTTTCAATTTCCCTGACTCACACCCTGTGGAAGTAAAGACAGTGGCATGCGTTCTCTCCCCTGCTGATGGCCCATTGATTGTGCTTAAGCAGACGTGCAGACATTGGGAGAGCAGGGGCTCCTGTTCAGAGGCACTTGGCAGGCAGCCTGAATGAAAAGGAAGGGTGCCTGGAGACCAACGGAGAATCAATAGCACTGTGCAGCTGCGTGTCACACCTCTGTGTGTCTACTGCTCTGTGCCACCAAACACAGGACAAGACCCACTTATCCCTCCTTAGTTATTGAGCCTAATCTCTGTGGCTGCTTTTGGGTACGCAACAAAGAGGAATCTGCCTCTGTCAGAGTGCTCCTGCTAAGAATTGGGTGACCGGGTGTAAAATGTGACATTTTTATCTGTGGTATTGTGTTTGCATTATCTCGGAAAAGTGCAGTAAGGTCTGAGAGGATAATCTTGAGACTTGATTTAATACTGTCCATTTAAGGCAACGGTAGATTTCGGTATAAAGATAGCGCTGGCCTTTATTAGTCTGGAATCAGATGCTGCAGTGTTTTCCTGCTCTTGTTTTCTCTAGATGATCCACGCAGTCAGGGTGAATTAGCTGCAGAGGGAGTTTTTGGTGCTTCAGATCTTTTAAGTGATTTAAGGTGTAATGGAGTGCACTGCTGAGAGCAGCTGTGAAAACGCTGGAAGTCAAGCGCAACCCACAAGGGAAGAGGAGTGAGGAGGACAGGGTTTAGTCTGGCATGGAGGCAGACACGTTCCTTTGGAGACAAACAGACATTACCTCTGATAGACATAATAGGCCTTAGCTTCCAACACAAAGATTTTTTCAAACACACACACACTTTTCTCCCAATCCTCATATCAATACCCTGTCAGCCACCGCCTCCGGATTATGCTGACAGGAATGATCATTGTAATTACTGATTTGTCACGACATTCATTGTGCATTGTCGTATATTGTCGTATATTGTCGTAACAAACGCAGCCGTACATTGTAGTTCAACAGATGTAAAATTTATCACCATGTCGTTTGTCCATGCTGCAGCTCCACCCACCAAATACGACTAGAAAGGCTTGACAAGTGAGCACCTATAAACCTCTCAGGATAGGATTTATAAGACAGAGGAGGCAAGGTTAACAGACACGAGGGTCACTGTAGGGCCCATAAACCACCAGAAGTATAACCATTATCATGCTTGCCAGTTTTGACACCTCCACCCCATGGCAATCAAAGCCTACAATGCAAAGAATTAACTTCATGGTTCGATGTGGTGCAGAGCAAAGCTTTTTGAAGTCCAAACCCTTCACTGCATGTCAAATCTAATTGAAATGTACAGGGACAATCTGGAGGGCGTTTTACTGTATCTGTACTCAAGAGATAACAAATGCATTCTTGATGATATAGTACTCATGTGGTTGGATAAGTTACCATGCCCCTGGCAGGCAATGCAGAGGATTTTCACTCTCTTCCCTTTTTTTTTTTTTTTCGACAGAGCACGACAGTCAGCGAGAACATTTGGTGTGTTTGATTATGTACTGCAATGGGTGTAATTTTTGTGTTCAGTAGAATACATTACACCACTTGGCATTGTGTATGTTATGCACATTATGAAAATCAGCAATCCATTATGAGCAATGTGATGTATTACTGTGTAAAGCAGAAGTGGCTGATGTGAGGTGTGTAGGCTGCCATTAGCCTGTAGGCTTGCAATGCCCCTCCAGGTGCTTTATTGGGGAGGAGAGGTGACGCTAATATGAGGCTGGTATAATAGTCGTGAAGTGACAGGTGACTTAATGAGGGGAACCTGGCACTGAAATGTGTTCTGTTCAAGCTCCTTTCAGCCCATGCAAATGACTGCGAAATGGAGGAGTGAGAGCGAGGGATGGAAAACAGGCAGCCCTCTTCATTGGAGATTAAGATCATTGTGAAAGACAGAATCTGTGAAAAAAAAACAACAGAGCTGCTTTTTTCTTCTGCTAAATTAAAGATACGCAAGCCCCTGCATTTTTTTAATTCTCTTTGTTTTCATCCCACTGAAACAGTTTCACACTGGCAGCTAGAGATTTAAAAGGGTGGAGGTGTGAGTTGAATGATTGATTAACATTTTATAGGCATTCATATATTATAGATTTATTACAACATATTGATGTACTTTAGTAGGTGGAAACTTCAAAGACTTTTATTTGCGCCTTAAATTACATTTTAATGATATTATATATTCTTTCATTGAATAGTACAATGTCAAAAAGAAAATGTATTTGTGGTCAGTCAACCCTGAACTGAAAAACAGATTATGGCCAGCTGGTAGGTTGATGTGAGGATACTGTGTGTGTGTGAACTGACTCTAAAAGCAGGCA